GGTTCCAGTTTGATTCCCAGTCAGGGAAGATGCCTGGGTTGCAGGTTTGATCCCCAGTAGGGGGCATGCAGGAGGCAGCCGATTGATGTTTCCCTCTCACATCAATGTTTCTCTCTCTCTCTCTCCCTTCCTCTCTCTCTCTCCCTTCCTCTCTCTCTCTCCCTTCCTCTCTCTGTCTAAAAAGTCGATAAAAACATATTTTTTTAAAAAGAAAGAAATTTTACTGCCCAGGGTCTGAAGACTTAATTAGACAGTCTTTTATTATTCCCAAGGGGTTTCACGTCTCTGTCTTCTCTCCCCTATTTGGAAGCACGAACCACATTTCTGTGTCCTTCAGAAGGACACAGTAGGTCTTCAGAAATGCATGCTAACTGAGCCCTTCTAACAGATTTTTCTAGAGAGACTTGTACAAGTAGATAAATAAAGAACATCCTAATTTTTTTATTTTCCACCAGGGAGGGGAGCTCAGTACAATAGAAGAGGAACTTTGGCCTCAAACAAGTACAGGTTTAAATTCCAGCTTTGCAAATCCCCTGTTCTTAAACAAATAACCACCTCTCCGAGTCTGTTTCCTTATCTGTATAATCAGGATCCTAATGATATTTCTTTCTTTCTTTTTTTCTTAATCCTCACACAAAGATATTTTTCTATTTATCATCAGATAGAGGGGGAGAGAGAGAAACATCGATGTGAGAGAGACACATCGACTGGTTGCCTCCTGCATGACATGACCTGAGCCTGGGACGAACTGCAACCAAGGTATGTGTCCTTGACCAGAATCGAACTCATGACTCATTGGTCTGTGGGTCGACACTCTAATCACTGAGTCAAACCAGCCAGGGCCCTAACGTTATTTCTTTATGTAGGGTTAACCCCCATGAAGATTAAATGAAATGATGTATATAAAGCACAGAATAGGGTGCCCAGCATACAGTGAGCACTCCATAATGATAACTGTTGTATAATGCCACTTTAATTTTTCCTGGCTTGTCTCAAGATCTAATAAAAGGAGGGTGGTTCAAGGGTTCTAGCTGGCTGGCACAATGATCCAGGTCAGCAAAGCTGCAGAGGTGCCTACTCAAGCACCCAGCATAGTCATTGGTTCCCAGAGCCCTCCCCTATAGTACTAAAGACCGGGCCACCAGCATGTAGCTAGACCTCGGACCTAGCTGGGCATTTTGAGTCAATACTCAAAACTTTAACATTAAACTGCTCTAGCCAAAGTAGGGGTTTATTCAAAGAGCTTGGTGCAATCACTCCAGGTCCTACCATCCACCATGACTCCTCCGCCATGTTCCTCCAATACCAGGAACTCATCCAACCTCTGTTACTTTGTATCTAAATATTGTCTGTGATCTTGCTCTGACTTACTTTTCCATTTCTGCATTTCCAACATGTGACTTACACACCCAACACCTAGCACAGTTCCTGGGATATACCCAAAGGCTCAGGACACACTAATGAAATGAACTAAATTAGGTGTGTGAGCAAGAGGAGGGGTCTCAGAAGATGAGGCTGGGTGTCTCTATCCTTGGGCTCTTTCCTAGTTCAGCTATAGATGTTAACCTCTGCTCAAGCATATGCCTTCTAAGGATCTCCCTGCTCACCATTAACTACCACATCTGGACTTCTCTGATGACTTCCACCTGACTCTGACCTCCCCAGAACTCCAAGACCCTTCCACCAACATCAGAGTATTTTCATTCACTCTTGGTTTTGAGCACAGACCTGTGCATGACTTGCTATCCCCCCATCAGACAGGAGCTTCCCGAGGGCAGACACTGGGCCTCTTTCCTCTGGCTCCCTGACGTTCTAAGCATATGCTGACCACACTCTGCCCTCAAATACAAAAGCTTGGGAAACGGGAATGGGCGAGTTGAATAGCCTCGAGCTTGCCTTAGAGTTCCGTATGGGTGCTCCCTTCAGGCGGAGACATCATCCAGCAGGGTTCAGCTGCACAAAGAACACCCCTTTCCTCCCCCTCAAGCCAGGGATCTGGTGACATCTTTCATCTCACCTCCTCCTCCACCCTTTTCCTCACAGTCCACTTCAGAGCTAGCCCTGACCTACCACCCAGGATGGCATCACCCAGCCCTCCTCATAGCTGTGGAGGAGAGGGGGCTAATACCATTGGAATGAAAGGCGCTGCCATTCAACACCCCGTCCGGATAATTCTCACTCAAGCTTATCTACGTTATTTGTCTGATTACTTGCCTCTCTTTTCCATTCCACTGGGAGCTCTGAGAGGTCAAACCCTGTCTTGCTTTTCATCTCCTGTCTACGGCCATGCCACCCTGAACGTGCGGTCTCATCGCATCTCTCGGATCCCAGCACCCAGCAGAGCAGCACACTGTAGGGTTTCATTAGTACCTGCTAAAGGAATAAGTATGTAACCAGCCTTAAGTTCCTCTCACTTCCGTCTCCCCTCCTCCCCAAAACAGACAGAGATCTGAATGAACTTCTCTGCCTCTCTCTTTCTGGTTTTCTAAGAATTTCTTTTTCTAAAGACTAAGTGATGATGCTCACACCTCAGCTCTTGGATGGTCTTGAAGGTGCCAGGGGACGGAAACCAGCTGCAACACCAGAGTGATGGGAGCCTTGGAAGCCTGTTCCTCAGTCACTGCAGAAATAGGACGCTCTTCTGTGCATCCTCCCCCTCAGATATCCAAAGCCGGAACCCACCCTCCGGATATCAGCCACCTCCTCATTGTGGTCCTGAAAGAATCAGCCAATCGGGAGCACTGTGGAGAGCTAGCTCCTCTTTTTGAGCACCTCACTGTATCTCTGTGTAGCCTTCATGATGTCAAACAAGGCATATGGGTTTGAGATTCATTTCACAAAACTAGGAAATACATACATTGTTATCAGAATCCCCTGCTTAACTGGAGCCCCAATCAAGAGTTTCAATGGCAGGGTCTTAATCCAATAAGCTCTTGAGGATGGCTGCAGGTGATGCCTCCTCCTGGACCAGGAAATACCAGGGGAAGTTCCTGTCCCTCCCCACTCTGATGAGAGGGTGCGCAGAAGGGCAACAAAGTGGAGGACCGCTAGTCCCCCAGCCAATTGCCCTCTTGCCAGGCACTGCCTGAGTCCTGGGCAGCGTGGCACGTGTGCTGGAGTCCAACCACTCAGATGTGTAAAGTGGCAGAGAAGGGACAGCAGTTTGCTCTTAACCTCCAATTAAGCCTCAGGGTTTTAGCTGAGGTCCCCAAGACAGGAATTGGGTTGCCACTCCCGGTTTCATGGGGCAAATGCAATTTGTGAGGCTAAGTGCAAAGGTCTCTTTCCTTTTTTGTGTTATTTTCATTCTCTCTCTCTCTCTCTCTCTCTCTCTCTCTCCACACACACACACACACACACCTTCAGCTGAATCCAAAGACAAGCAGTACTAGATGTGTAGCAGACCCTCCACCCCCAACTTATCTCCTTCAACTCTTCCTGCAATGTAATCCCACCAGATCCACTCACCCCCAAACCAGGGCGAGGACAGGTCTCTGCCTTCCTTCTTCTCGCTGCCCCCTACTCCCACTGCTGCTATGGCCCCTCTCCCCAGGGGCTTCCTCTTTCCGCACATATTTCCCTAGGCTTCTCCCACTTAAGTCTCAAGTTTGGTGGGTTCTGAACTTGCCAGTCTCTGGTCCCATACAAACAATTCACCTCTGGCCCTGCAAGTCCGCCCTTGCTGACGATTTGATGAAGGCCCAGCAGGACTCACCACAGTGCCAAGGGTAGAGAAGACACACCAGGCCCTCCTCCCGGGGAAACAGACAGGCAGGAAAGAGGCACTGTCATCCACTCCCCCAGACTGAAGGCTTCTCTGCCCGGCACACACACACCACTGCCAAACGCCAAGAAGGAATCGGAGCAGAAGCTGGCTGGGCAGGGCAGGAGAGGGGCTGCCACGGGGACCGGCGTCTAGGTGATTCAGCACTCTGCCCACTCTCAGCCCAGCTCATTGGCCACTCTCAGGAAAGCGCCTAATGCCAAAGTGCTGACTCGGAAGCTGAGGAGGAATCCTTTCTAAAGTCCAAAATTCTCCAGCCATCCAGTGGGGCTCCTCATCCAGGCCTTTGCATCCCAGGGCTCAGAACAAGAAGAGGCTACTCAGCCATTCGTAGGACCCCAGCTCTTCCCCAGCCTCATTTTCCTGTGCTCAGCACCCCCTCCCCCAGTCCATCTAGGAAACAAACCTGCACAGCTAAGGGAAGAGTAACATAAGAGAGGCCTACCAACACCAAGCATACTGTGCCCCCAAACCATGAATAGGATCAAACACGTAGAAAGGGGTTATAAGTGGCACAAGGGAGTACACAGGCCTGCAGAGCCAGAGGCCTCCCCAGGCAGGAAAGGGGTGCTCAGGGGCAGACGAGGCTCAGGCTACAGGCAGCACCAAGAAGGGCAGGAGGGGAAGGTGATGGAGGGCAGGCCGGATAACAGCCAAGGAGGAGAAGATGGGGTTCTTGAGAGGGGTTCTGAGGCAGCTGGGAAGGGGCTGAGACAGGGTGTGCAGAGAAGACTGAGGGAGCTGATGGAGAGACAGGCACATAGAGTGATGGGGATGCAGCGGGGAGGAGGGCAGGGGAGGCCAAGGAGAGGGGCTTAAGTACAGGGCAGGAAAAACAGAAGGGATGGGGGTCAGCAAAGTGGGATGTGGAAGTACACAGAGGTATCAGGGCATGTGGGGACAGGGGCAGAAGGAAAGAGGAAAGAGGGTGAGGATGCAGGAAGGGGGGAGGGATGCAGCCAATGAGACAGAAAGGGTGTGGGGTGTGCAAGAGGTCGGGAGATGGATGGGAGTGGGGTGCAGATACGGACAGAACAGGATGGATTCAGAGCAGGTGACCGGCAGAGAAAGGCCAGGTGTGGACGGAGGGGGATGGGGACAGGTTCGGGGTTGGGGATAGAAAGGGGAGGGCGGGAAAAGGGGGGCAGTCCTAACTAGGTTTCCATGACCCCGTTGTGCCCCCACCCCCATCTTCCAGGTGTCCGAGCTCACCTACCTCCAAGGGCTGGGCTCGGGCCCTGGGCGCAGTCCGCGCGGTCCGCTGCCGGCGCCGCCACTACCCCCGCGTCCCCTGCAGCCTCTAGCCTCCAGCCGCCGCATTAGGGCAGAGACCAGCCCGTGCGCGTCCCCGGGCGCGGCGCGCCCCCGACACCTTGCGTGCGCGCGCCCGCGCCACTCCCTTCGCGCGCCGAGCGGGGACCCGGACGCAGGAGGCGGAGGGAGGATGCTGGGGCGCGTCGGGAATCGGTCTGAGAGCCTGGACCGGGAATAGCCTCTTCCTTCTCTTCTCGCCGAGCCGCGGCCGCTCCGCGGACCGGCTTTGGAACCGCCCCTACTTCGCGCCGTGTGCGTTCGGGAGCGCGCGCTGCGTGCCAACCCCCCGGAGAGCTGCCCAAGCCGGCGCATCACGTGTCGTCCTGTACCTGCTCCTCCGCCATCAGGCTGCGACTTCTTGGGGACAGAAATGTGTCTTCCCAGGGTGACCTGCTATGGTAGACTCCAGGAATGTTTGTGGATTGAAGACTTGTTGGATCCCAAATTGGGGGTGTGAGAGAGGCTGTGACACCTGCTGCGGGGAAAGTGGTCCTTTAAAAAAAATGGGAGGTTTCTTCCGTCTTAAGGGGTTCAGGCCGTGTCCCATACTTGAGTTTGCTGGAAAAAAGCCAGGGCCCGAGAGACAGGAGATCCCAGTGCTAGTCCTTGCTGGGTGACTAACCTCTCACCTGGGCAAGACACTTCTCTGTGAGCCTCGGCTTCCTCAAATGCGCAGTAAGGAACTGACTGGATGACTCCTAGCTCACACCCGGAGAATGCGTTAGGCCCTGGCCAACGTGCGCAGCCAGAGACCTGAGCACTCTTACAACCTGAAACAGTGAAAAGATCTGAATTGGGGTAGAATTTTAGGATTAGAAGAGCACTTGGAAGTCCAGCTCCCTATCCCAAAACACAGTTCCCGCAGCGACCCCCCTCTGAGGTCCCATTCAAGGCCACATGAGGCTGCCTTCTCTATTCACACTGCGCCTGCCCTGGCACCACCTTCGCTGAGCTGTACCCACCTGCCTGCCTCTCTGACTCCCCTCCAGTCCCTGAGCTCTGGGACAGGAGGAATGCATCTTGCTCCCCATGCTTTCCCCAGTCCTTGAACATAGTAGGTTCAATAAATACTCATTGAAGGAATGAATGACCAATAATGATAGATGAAATCATGTGGGTAACTGACAAAATGTTCCACTCTTCTGTTAGGTGCCCTGAGACCAACAATTAGGCTATTGGGCAAAGACTGCACCATGGGAAAGGGGGAAAGGTGTAGATGGCAGTCCCGAAAACATAGCTGCTCATAGGTGTGAAGGATTCTGGGCCAAAGTTTTTGCAGGGTCCCTGTCTATACAAACAATTTGATGTCACTCAAAATCTTGTCTCAGCATCATTTTGGCAGCCTGGCTGTACACAATCCTGTGAATGAAACAGAACACTGAACAAAACTGTGCAACCTCCTGGAGCCGGTCTTAACCACAATGCCCTGGGATGACCTCATATCAGCCGGTCCTAGAGCTTCTGGGGGTGTCTGGAGAGAGCTAGAAGGGAGTGTAGAGGGTTGGAAAATTCTTTGAAGGGCAGAACCTAGAAACTGGGGAGCCCTGTCCAGATAGCACCACTGGCCTCAGCCAGTCCCAGGCCCTGGAGAGGGGGAGGGGGCACTTAGAAAACTTAGAGAAAGGTGCTTCAAAGCACCAGGGCCCCTTAGGAATGGACCCAGGGCAGGATCCCCCTTACTCTCCTTACTGAAAGTAGGCAGCTGTGGCTGGTTCCGTGGATTAGAGAAAATAATGTTCCTTTTCTAAGCACCTATAGTGTGTCGGCAGCTGGTTTTCTTATTTTTACAGCACCAGGAGGTAGATATTTTATAGGCAGTGTTGCTTAGCATTTATGCCACCAGCTCTAGAGGCAGCCTGCTGGGGCTCAGATCCCACCTCCACCACTCCAGATCGGGGTGAATGTGGGAAATTTACTTATTTTTCTTTTATTTTCTTTTATGTCTTTTTTAAAAAATTTATTTTATCCTTACCCAAGGACGTTTTTTGCATTTATCTTCAGATAGAGCAGGAGAGAGAGAGGGAGGAAGAGAGAGAGAAACATCGATGTGAGAGAGACACATTGAGTGGCCGCCTCCCACATGACCCCAACCAGGGAGGGCCGGGGACAAACTGCAACCGAGATACGTGCCCTTAGTGGGAACCAAACCTGGGACTCTCCGGTCCACGGGCCGACGCTCTAACCGCTGAGCAAACTGGCCAGGGCTCTTTTATGTCTCTTAAAAGTACCATTTAACAGCTAAGAAAACTGAGGTCTAGAAGTATAAAAGATTACCCAGTGATTTGATGTTAAAACTGAACTGGAACTCAGGTGTAAAGAAATTAAGTCTGGATTTTGGGGGATGCAGAGCCTCCAGAGGCCCGGAAGGTAGAGAGGCAGGTGTGCTCCCTGCTGCTGGCCTGTCCTGATCAGGGGAGGGGCACCACCTGCTGGTGATGGACTCCGGGACAGGACAAAGCAGCCTCGCCCTGTGCCGGCTGGACAACAAGCTTGTCAGGAAGACTTGTTTAGTGCCAAGGGCACAGAGCGATCCCTTTCTCTTTCCAGACTTTGATCCGGCCTTCCTGCTTCCTTTTCCTCCCTGAGTTTGTATCTCTAGTTCTGGCTCAAACCCTAGCTGGCATGGACTCTGCTGACCCTGGACCTGAAACCTCATTCACTTGTGTCCCTTTGTCGTGGCAAATGGCAAGTCACTAGTGAGTTTTACATCCCCTAGCATCTCCTGGCTCCCAACCAAATTTCACAAACCCTGCCGGCCTTACCCTGGGCTCAGGCCAAGAGAAAGCCCCAGGCACTGAGTCCTGAGTGCTTTCAGAGGGCACTGGGCATCTGCAGGGATGGGAAGAGCTGAGGGACAGGGCCGGGTCCCCAGAGGCTGTTACACCTCCCAAGCCACGCTCCTCCACATGCTCACCACAAGGCGTGGGGAACAGGCAGTTTCATATATTTCTGGTGGAGGTTTAAGTGGTTACAGCCTTTTGAGAGCACTTTGGAAATGCCATGAAGACTTTGAATGTGCCCTTGAGCTGTCAGTGCGCCTCCCGGAGCCAGCCTGCACAGACACTAGCACGAGCCACAGAGGTGTGTACACACGAGGATGCTCCAGCCCGTCTGGAGGACAGTGGTCAAACCCGTGGTGTATCTGTGCCATGGAGAAGTGTGGGTGTGCTTGGCTTCTAAAACCAAACAGAGGGATGAACAAGACCCCTCCCCAGCTGGGACTTCTGGCATCTGGAAAACCTTTGTCAAAGTGCTTTGCCTTTCAAACACATTTGTGCAAATAGTCTTGAGAGGGGTTGCGCACTGCTGACCACAAAGCCATCCCTATCATCATAATCAAATGGCTAAGACCGTCTCTCTTCCTGAAACCTCTCGTGCACTTTATTTGTGGTGTTCAGTACTCCTGTTTTAAGACTCAGCTTAAACATCTCCTGTGGAAAGAAAACGCCTCCCTCAGCCAGACCCAGCCTCTCACCTGGGTGGCCGTGCACACGGTGCGTGCTCCCTCGACCACGTCCTGCTTCTTTGTGGGCGTGTCTCCCCAGCGCGATGGTAAGTCTCCTGAGAGCAGGGAGTCCCGGATCCACAGAGCCTAGCACAGCACGCTGCTCAGAGCTGAAGCTCCATAACCATCGGTCGAAGCAACGAATGGGTGTATGAATCAGAGCAGAACTGTTATGAACATGCACTGTGCTGTCTGATGATGGAAGCCACTAGCCTCATGTGGCTATTTACATGAACTAAAATGACAAAGTCAGTGCCTCAGTTACACATTTCAAGCGGCTAGTGGCTGACAGTACAGGATAACCAGACCAAAGAACGCTTCCATCGTGGCAGAAGGTTCTACTGATCGGCACTTGTCCACGTTATGACTGGTGCTACATGGAGCTGTGTGGTGCCCGACCTGCCCAACGGTCCAGAGCAGGCCTGTGCCAACCAAGTTCCTCTGTGTATGTGGTGCTGGCACCTAGGGTCTAAGACAAGCAAGAGAGCCCGGGCGGTGTGGCTCAGTGGTTGAGCATCGACCCATGCACCAAGAGGTCACCAGTTCGATTCCCCGTCAGGACACATGCTCAGGCTATGGGCCAAATCCCCAGTGGGGGCATGCAGGAGGCGGTTGGTGGACATTCTCTCTCATGGACGTTTCTATCTCTCTCTGCCTCTCCCTCCCTCTCTCTCTAAAATCAATAAAGAAAAAAATGTTTAAAAAAGAAAGATAAGACAGGCAAGAGAATGTCTCGAAGCACACTGTAAAGAACACTCCCTTGATGACTACATCCAGGCCAAATGAAGTCAATAAAGAGAGGCTGTCAAACATGTAAAAAATGAACAGACCGAAGGAAGGAAATAAAAAGCGGCTCGAGTGTACTTGAAGCCAAAAAAGTCACATGTTTCCCTTCTTATATTTAAAATAGACATGACTTTGCCAGAATTATTTCTTGGCAAAAATAAACATATTAGACAGAAATAATCAGGCTGGCTGTTGAAATATAGCCAAAGGAAATATTTGTCTTCGTGCAGGGAGCAGAGGTCTCTAACATGGCAGCCACTGGTTTTCTGGGTAAGATCCCACTGACGATGGCATTTTCTGTTGTTTTCCACAAACCCCTGAAAGGCCCCATTCATGGCAACATTTCAGCTTCCAGATTATCTTTCTGACACTGCCTCTTGCACATAGCAAGTGCATCCAGACTTTTTGAACATGTGTCTGGGTTTCCTATCAGGAAAAGTTACCTTGCAGGTCCTTTCCATTTCTGCCAAAGGAACGCTTAAGTCCAAAAGGTTAAGCACTGGCCAGACCCACCAAGTAGGGACAGAGGAAGCATCACCTGCCCTTTGCAGCAAGCCAGGGGCCCTGTGCTCCAGGCCCCAGGTCCTGGAACCCAGGCTCCTCTGTTTCTGCCCTATTGCACCCTCCCCCCACCCCAGCCTAATTCCCTGTGGCTG